TCACATCATCTCCTATCTCCTGTATCAGTGACGAGGATTGCCCTGACCCAGGTGCAGAACCCTGCTCTTGGTCCTGTTGAACCTCTCTGGCCTCGCTCCAACACTTCAATGTCCTTTTTGTGCTGGGAACTCCAAAGCCCCATAGCTACCGCAGGGAGGCTGCTCTCTAACACAACCAAACGTACTCCATTTCCACTTAAATAGTCAGGTATGATTTCACCAAGGAGGGAAGGACACAGACGAACCCAAAGGCTGCAGCACGCCTGTACCTACTCAAAGAGGGTAAAGCGATTACAGCCACTTACTCAGAGCCTGGAAAATGTCACCAAGCAGGCTCGGCAGTGTTTTGGGAATCCTAATGATTTGTCTAAATTCTACCAATGCAAACAATTAAAATGCTCGACAGAGGAATGTTATCACCCCTTGTGGGGAAACCGAGGCACAGAGAGACAGGAGGACCTGCATAACATCAGAACTGTATTAAAATACGTACCCTGCCTGCAACCAACCACGAAGCCTTACCTTCTTTAAAATGATAAGATTATTCCTGGTGCAAGGCACTTTATAGAGGTAGTGGAAAATCAGGTCCTGCTGTGAGGATCTTCTTGAGCTGATTTCTTCCAGGTCTCACAATGCTGTCCTGGCAGAAAGAGGCGTTTTTTAATTATTTTATTATTTTCCACCTGTGCTTCATGCAAAGACATTACCCTCCACCTCTCTCTGCCACAGCTTATTTTTGGGTTAGTCATTTTCTCGCCTGTACCTGTTGATTTGACTGACATCCGTGTACAGGCACACACAGCCAGTAAGAAGGGCAAATGAGGAAACCTTTGCTTGACAGCTTTGCTCCCAGCACGTTGGTATGAATCAGAAGAAAACGCCAGCCTCCATCCTCATTAATAAACCACCAGGTTCTGCTCTTTCTTTTCCCTGGCGGAGGATGCTCAAGTGTTTGCAATAAACATGCGTTTTCTCATCTAGCTATTAACCTGCTCACAGGTTACCAAAGAGGGTCAAGGATTAAACAGCAGTGGGAAAAAATACACCCATAATCCTGCTCTTTGGGAGAGTGGTGGGGTATTTTTCATGTATCACCATGTCAGGGTGCCCTTTGTTTCCCCAGTCAAGGGAAAGCAAGGCAAACAAGGCATGGGAACGCTCCTCTAAAGAGATTAGAGCCCTCAGCACAAAGGGGAAGAACAAAAACGTCCAGATGAAAGGTAAGGGATGGGGAGAGATGGATGCTGCTCTCTTTTAAGCGACTGCAGATAGTGCTGGGAGTGCCACCCCTGCAGGAGCCATCCGAGGCAGGGGGGAGCTGCCAAGTGACCGCGCACGCCATCTGCTCAGCATCAAGTCACGTCTTGCCTGCATCCAAACCACCCAGGCGCGCAGTTTACAGGCAGGGATTAAGGGTCCTTTTTAGGTTCACTGAGAGGAATCTGCATTCATCCCTGTTTGGCTCCTTTTTCCTAAAGCTGTGACCGAGGCAGCTATCACGAGCAAACATCCCAGGCAGTGATACTGCAGCCTGTGCACGTTCCTGCTTCCCCCCGTGCTGGCTTGAGTTTCCCAGCAGATGAAAGCAGTGCTGCGGAGTGGATTAGGTCTGATAGAGATGGATGTGCTCAGAGATGGGTCCTGTTTCTCCCTTCTTTTACCAGACACTAACAACAGAAGTAGCAGCCGCAGCTTCTCTAGATACCGAAGCAAAGCTGGGCAAAGACACCTTTCTAGCACCACCAGCCTGCAGAATGATTCATGCTGCCCTATTCCTTGTCCAAAACACATACGTCCACCATCTGAATATTGATAGGTATTGAGGCATGATCATTAGTTTGATTAACCTGCTTTTGATGCACCACACATGCACTGTTTTGTCACACTCATAACAGACCAAATACAAAGGTCCCAAAATCCCTAGCCCAAGTCTGGATTTTAAGGAGAAAATAATACCGGCTTCTGAACTTCAGAGACTGAAAACCTAGGAAATCTCACTTGTCCACACTGCGTATTGAAGCTGCTTTGCCCAGCTAAGCACAGTAGATCTGCCAGGGTTCTCTCCTTGCAGCTTTGTTGACCGTTTGGTGTCTCAGTCCTTTTCTCTCTTTGCTATTCAGGAGCTGGAGGAGCTGTTGACAGAAATCAAGGACATTTCTGTTGTACTGGGAATAGACAACGCGTGCAAACTTGATCTGAGCAGAATTGTGGAAGAAGTGAGGGCCCAGTATGAAGCCCTGGCTCTTCGGAGCTGGGAGGAGGCTGAAGCCCTTACCAGAAGAAAGGTATTTGTCTCCTTATCTGATGGATACTGGGGAGAGGCAGGGAAAGAAGAGGGAGATCAGCCTAGAAACTACAGGAATCAGCAAGATGTGGAGGGACAGACTGCCCTGGGAACGGAGGGAGGGCCAGGGCGCTAACCCAGAGCAACTCCTCCTCACCCAGGTGTGTAAATTAGGAGTATCATTGCTCTAGGCTCTCCACACCATCAGTGGAGAAAGCCAAGGACATCTCCCAGTGGCAGTGTGGCCACCTAAGATGCAAACGACCTTACACTGGTGCTCCTCCAAAGCAAGAAAGGATGTGATTAACCCCAAGAGACGGTGCTCTACCCCTGGCACAGCTGCAGTCAGAAGAGGATATGAGAATGAGCCCTAAATCCTTCCTGTTTTTCCCCAGTTGGGTGTTTCTCCTCAAAGGTAGCAGGGACCCTCACAGATTCCTTTGCTGCAGCAAAAGGTGTGCAGATAATTCACTTTTCCACCTCTCCTGCAGCTGAATGAAGGAAGCATCCAGTCAGGCAGCTATGGGGGCCACCTCCTCGACAGCCGACGGGAGATCGCAGACCTGAACATCCAGATCCAGAAGCTGAGGTCCTGCATCGTGTCCCAGAAGAGCCAGGTGAGACCTGGGGTGGGTGACAACAAAACTCTTGACGTACAGGGCTGAAACTACAACACACCTAACGCCTCCGCTGCTCTTTTCCCTTTGCAACACCAGTGCCTGTACTTAGAGGAGCACATCAAAGAAGCAGGAGAGCATGGCGAGATGACCCTCAAAGATGCCAAAGCCAAGTTAGTCAAGCTAGAAGAAGCCCTGCAGAAGAGCAAGGAGGACATGGCTCACCTGGTGAAGGAGTACCAGGAGCTGATGAACATCAAGCTGGCCCTGGATGTGGAGATCCTCACCTACAGGAAGCTGATGGAAGGGGAGGAGAGCAGGTGAGCTGGGCTTCCTTGTGCCTGAGGAAGGGACGGGTGCATCCAAATGCCTAGGGAGAAAGCAGAGAGCCCAAGCTTTGAGTCTGGTATTGAAGGTTTGATCAGAGAAAGCACAAATCCCAGCAGTCCCCATACAGCTCAGTTCCTTGCTCTGAGGTTTTCCTCCTAGATTGGAGGGTTTTAGCCCTTTTCTTGATGCTGCTTTGCCCAGGTGCTGTTGTTGGGCCTTCATGACCCAACCGAGCATTCGGGTCTCATCACGGAGCCAGCTCACATGGGTTGAACTCCAGTCTTCTGTGTCCTATGGATACAACTCTGTTTGCCAAGCAAGGCGAGGGGGATGCTCTGGCCTCACCGCAGGCATCGTGGTTGGACCCCATGATCTTAAAAGGTCTTTTCCCTACGGATACAGAGATTAATACGCATCCTCACGCTCTGTCCTTGCATCCACAGCATGGAGCAACCAATCCCCACCATCATCAGCACCGTCCACTCCAAGCCAAAGCCCCGTAAGTGGTTTTATTAATACAGTTTGGTGAAGCAGAGTGGGAATTTAACATTTCTAACCTCTCCCTTCTAATCACCCCCAACCCCTGCAGTTTCTGCCAGCACCTTGAGGAACTCCAAGCTGTTTGCAAGAGAACCCGGCAGCACCAACGGCGAGGTGAAGCCGAACGGAGACATCGCAAAGAAGGTGCCCTCCAGAAGCCACAGCAGCAACTCAGAGACACCCAAAGCCGACGCCTTCAGCAGCGGTGCCCGGCCAAAGCTCAACTCCCTGCCCACCGAAGGGTGCTCCTAGGAGAAACGGAGCCCCGCAGCACAGCACAAGACCCGTTGGCATCTGTAGCCAAATGAGGCCAAGGCACTTGCTCCTGAACTCAAACCAATGCCCGAGGGACAAAGGATGGGAACTCAGTCCACTGTCTTAAGTTTGTCTTTACAACATCCCAGTTAACGTCTCTGTTACCAGTCACACGCAGAATCCAACCCTGGGTTTTAGAGACTCTCCCACCATACCCACACACCAACATCTTCCTCTCTAGGTCTGTTTCCCCAAGGGTTTGCATTCACAACCCTTGAGTTCTACCTACAGGAAAGTGGGCAGGAGGGGAAGGTGTTATTACCCGAGCTTTTAGGGCAGCAGTCATCTCACCAGTGTGACAAAACCCTTCTCTCTGCTCTGTCCCTGCTTCGTGTGTGTCTGAGAGGTGTTCATTGCTGTGGCTTTCACAGGAAGGCAGCACTGTGCTTTCCAAGCCGAGCTGGTGGGGAGATGCAGGTAAACAACCAGAGCCAGGTGGCTTTGTGACATCTGGATTTGCACATCTGGTGACAAAGACGCTGGTGGTACTGGGGGATCCTTGACCACAGACGAGTATTTAACTGATTTTATTGCCTTTTGGGTGGCCCTTCATTCCTTCCCATGCCCCCAAAGCTAAAACCCTTTAAAACTTTGATTTTCCTAAGCCATCTCTGAAGCAGAGAGCATCTCTGTGTCTCACCTAAAGGCACTCCAGACTCCACACACAATGGTGCTAGGCCCTAGAAATGGGATACGGGTTCTCATTTCACCTCTATGAGCAGGACTTGTATTTATTGAGCTCACACAGCAGCTTTCACCTTACCTGGCTGATGCCAGCCAAATCTGTATTTGCTACATCCCTCTGCAAGGTAGGGAGGATGCTCTGGCCTCACCACAAGCATCAGGTTGGACTCAGTGATCTTAAAGGTCTTTTCCAACCAAATGATTCTGTGATTCCTGTGGCCCTCTTGCACAAACTAACACAGACAACACCCTGCAGTATTTTCCTTTACCAGGCCAGGCTCTGGCATCAGCCACTGCCACGCAGCCCCCGAGTTGAGTTCCCAGGAGGAGTTGGTCATAGGCTCTTTGCATACTTCCACTGTGCATTGCAGTACTTCCACATTTCTGTAGGACAGACAACTACCAGAGCATCTGTGTAACCAGAATACCCTCTCTCTAGGGTTATGGCTGTTATAATAAAGTATTGAGGGTCATATCAAATGCATTGTATTGGGTTTTTTTTCAAGTTTCTTACCACAGCTCACCTGAAACAGCAATTCCTCCCCAAGTTGTGTTTCAGCTGAACTCTGGCAGTCAAATGAAGCTGAAACGGCTTCCCAGGGAATTTGTTTGGTCCATATCCCCAGGGAGATGCACACAGGACACGAGGGGCAGACGTGGAGCCACCAGCTGAGGTTTTGGGGAGCTCAGCGCTGTTTTGCCACCAGCCTCCCATGTGGCTTTGAATCACAGAGCAGCTCAAGCACGGCCCAGGAGATGAAGGGTTATTGCATGGAGCTTCTCCTTGATAAAGCCCTCCTGCACCTCTGCAAAGGGGAACATCTGTGCAGCAGGGACCCAGATCCATCCTGGGGAAACACCTCTTCATGCAGCCCCTCATTTTGGAGGCACAGGGGCCTCCTCAGTGCTCCTTGCTCAAAACCCCCATCCTAAGCGACTTACCTGGGAGATCCAAAACAGACAAGGCCCCAGAGGTGTTAGAGGACCCAGAGGGAGCATCTCTGCTCTTTGCTGCCCACCTGAGAGAAACCCCATGCTTTCAGGGTCAGCTCAAGGGGTACAGGGGCAGAGGAGGGGAGGATGGTCCAAGCCCCAGCTGTTAAATTTGGCTTTTAAACTGGCAGGGATGGGAAAGCGGGGAGCTATGAGTGAGCTCCCAGTAATACCAGCCATTTCCAGTGCAGATTTTAACACAGAGCTTCCCCTGGAGGCAGGACCCAGCAGAGCCTTTGCAGCTGGAGGAACAAAGCTGGGTTTGTGCGAAGGTGCTGAGGCCCAGCAGATGAATGAGGGCCCTGAGCAGCCCTTGCAAGGCCGGGTGGGGCTGAGGCCCTGTCAGCAACGTGGGGAATGAGAAACACAAGGCTGGTGGTGGCCAAAATGAAACCTGAATGGAAAGAGAGGGCTTGGGAGCCCTGAACGTCCAACCTGGGGGAGCTGGAGGACAGGGTGGTCACAGACACGCACTTGCAGCCAGGCTGGAAAGGGCAGGGGCACAATAGTCCTGAAAGAAGAGTTTGCGGCTGTTTTCCCTCCCTACCATATGGGTTCTGGTTTGGTTTTTTTCCTGCTCTTTCTGAACCTTCACCATGCAGGAATTGGAAGAGAGCCCTGAGTCCAGGAAGATGGACTCCTGGGTTCAGTTCTCTGTTCTAGGGCCACAGAGATGATCCACGGGCTGGAGCAGCTCTCCTACAAGAACAGGCTGAGAGAGGTGGGGGGGTTCAGCCTGGAGAAGAGAAGGCTCTGGGGGGACCTTAGAGTGACCTGCCAGGACCTGAAAGGTACCTGTAAGAAAGCTGGGGAAGAGCTGTTCACCAGGGCATGGAGCAATAGCATGAGGGGGGATGGTTTTGAACTGGAAAAGGGCAGATTTAGGCTGGATCTGAGGAAAAAGCTGCTCCCCATGAGGTGGTCGAGCACTGGCACAGGTTGCCCAGAGGTGCTGCAGGCCCCATCCCTGGAGATGCTCAAGGCCAGGCTTGGTGGAGTCTCAGCACCCTGAGCTGGTTCAAGATGTCCCTGCTCACTGCAGGGTTGGGCTGGATCAGCTTTAAGGTCCCTTCCAACCCAAACCATGCTGTGATTTTATGATTCATTCTATGGCTCCTGAGTTCAGTTCCCTGTTCTACCCAGGAGAGCACGACCCAACTCACTGTTTCACTGACTGCTCTGTGCCTCAGTTTCCCCAGTGACAATCAGAAAGCGCATATCAAGCCATGTTATACCAGAGCAATGAGTTTATGCAACAGCATAATTTCTGTGCTCCATTAATGGGAGCTGAGCTACACCTGAGATAGTCACACCGCTCCGGGACACCCATACCTGCCCTGTTCCCTCTCCACCATACCACCCCTCAAGCACTGACTTCATCTGAAGGACCAGACCCTTCCTCAGGGCTAACTTCTGTAGCTTTTCTTACCCCAGAGGCACAGCCAGCCCTAAACCCAGCTGCAAAATTCACTGGGGAAGCTCTGTCTTTTTAATTTGTCCAGTGAAGGGCATCGCACCCCTTGAGAAACACCAGGCAGTGCCATCAATTTGGGATCTAAGAATTTCCTCTGGGTGCTGGGACGAGGATGCTGAGCCAGCACAGTCCATCAACACAGCGGCCAACAGGTTTAGCTGCTGCCGAGGGGATCGGTGGAATAAAGGCAAGCCCGTCCACGTTATCTGGCGAGCTCCATCTGTGCAATCCAAAGCACAGCCATCTCCAGGTAAAGCCGTATCAGTTTCAGCTGTGAGAGGCTTCCCAAAGATGATTTCAAACGTTGTCTGGAGCCAAAGATGGGAGCATCTGCCCAAGCGTGGGGGACGAAAAGGAGACATCAGATGTCCAGGACATGGCCCAGTTGCGAGACAGAGCCCAGGGGCAAAAACCCAGGGACAGATAAATCCGTGTGCTGAAAGCAGGGGGCAGAGCTGATTTTGGTGGGGCAGGGAAATATTCCCGTCTGCACAACAGCGACTGGGCTGGAGTCCAGAAGACAAGCCAAAGGAGACGGAGGGAAGCGGCAGGGCTCCTCCTCTGCTGCCTTCCAAGCAGGGAGAGTCTGCGTCCCAAACCACATCTGAGGGCGTCGCATACCTGGGGTGGGGAGCGCCCAAGTGTGAGCTCCAGGCTCCCTCTCCTGGGCAGGTGACATCACTGCAAACGCCTCCAAAGGAGCCTCAGTGGCCTCCAAGGCCTGGATTCCTCCAAGCCCTGGATCCCATGAGCTGCCACATCCCAAACAGCCCCTTCCTTCCTTCCAGAGAGCCCAGGAGAAAGGGAAAAGAGCTCCCAGGTTGGGAGAAAGATGACAGCAAAGCATGGTCAAGATCTGGATGCTTCAAGAGGATACAACAGGGAGTGAGGCGCAGATCCCAAAGCATATTCCTCATCCACCAAGAACTCAGGTCCTGGTGGAAATCACATCATCCTGGCTGACCCAAATTCACTTCACTGCACACAGACTGAGATCTCAATCCTCTGTGGCCCATGCACAATTTTGAATCAGTCTGGGGGGAAGCAAATCGGTTCCCAGCAGTTACCAGGAGCGAGGAACATCTCCCTCGATCAGATCCCACCAGTGCATGGATTGACCCTGTCACCATCCCCTCCTGGGTGCCTGGCTTTGGGGACCAACACCAAAAACTCTGGCTGGGGGCTGCGCCACTCTGAAAAAGGCCGTGGACCCTTTCGGACCTGCAGAGACACACCAGATTTTTGTATTTTTAGGGCTCAATCTGCAAGAAAACACTAAAAATAATGTTATAAAGAGTCGAACCACATTTTCCTTTGGAAATTCAGCCTTCAGCCCATCTGCTCCCCAAGAAACAGCAATCCAGCTGCACATGGGAGCATTTCTGGTTCTTCTCCTACCTCTCCTTTCCCTTCAGACACAGGGATGCTCCTTTGGGCAGATGCAGAAAGCGCCCACCAGGTTCCCACTAAAACAGGACACGGACCTGGTCTCAAAGGAGAAAGCTTAACTTGTAGTCCTCCCCATGAGCTGAGTTCATGCTCTGTACCGGAGCTGGGGGGGGGTGGAAATATCCCTCCACATGTTCCATGTTGTTAAATGTGTGGGAAGCGAGATGGAAATGTGTTCCTGGGGGGGAGAAAATGGCCTGGAGCTCCAGAGACTTTCCACTACACCTCATCCCACCAAGTACAATCAACCTCTTCCAAAAAATAAGCCCAAGCCCACTCCAATTTCCAGCCCAGTCCCACTTTACCCATAGCTGCTCCCTCTGGTTCCAGCTCATGA